GCTTGAAGTGACAGGCTCAGTTGATTTTTAAGGAAACGCCTGCCAAATGCTCAAGCCTGAATAACCATAGTTTGTCAGTGGCTCCGTGGAGAACTCAGCGAGTTCACTCACAGCTGAGATGGTCACATGCTGCCAGCCGCATCCTCTGCACTCAGCACATGCTTATATGTACCCGCCATTTGGTCACACAGAGTATTGAAGGATGTGTGCTGTGGAGTCTAGATTGAATAAACTCAATAATTTTTATGCTTTCATATGGACATTGTTCAGTGAAATTAGCACTTTATTCATTTATTTTTATTGCAAGTGCCTGGTGGTGAAGAATACCCCGAGTACTACTAAAGTTCAGTGCCATTGCCTTGATTCATGCCCAGGGCCAGCAGTTTTTCCCACTGTTGCTTTGCATGCAAAGTCAACACAGTGAAAAAAGGCAAATCATGTCATTTGTATTACTATGAAAATAGTTTCAAGTTTCAAGGGCCTAGAAATTCCTAGGGATCAGTGGATCATCCTTTGAGAAGTGGTGGACCAGATGATGCCCGGGTCCTGCCCTACCATGACATCTTAATCATCAAATGCGTGCAATCGAGACCCCCTTTGTAATTGTGGTATGAGGGAGGTGACTTGAACCTGTTTTACTGCCAAGGGCATTGCTGCAAACTGCTCCTTTTGGGTAATTGTTTTGGGAGGTGGGGTTTTCCCCTGGAGTATCTGAATCCTGTGAAGGATACTGAAGGATGAGTTGCTGTAGAATTTTGCTCTATTTTCTGGAAAGCATTTTGTAGGCCTTTGAGTATCTTGGCCATACTTATTGGTTGCTCAAGAGAAAAGTGCCAAGGATTGCTGGGTAGTTCATCATTTTTATTGCTAGATCAGCTCTGTACTTAAAGGATGACTTAAGAGACTGAGCTCCCTGCAGCAGCTCTAGCTTTTCTAGGCCAGAAGTTTGAATCTCCTTGGGAATGGTGACTAATGTCTTCCTCATTCTGTGCAGGGGATGCCCTGGGTGGCCTTTGGAGGAGGTTTGTAGTGCCCAGTAATTTCCCCTAGGCCGGAACTCTACAAAATTAGCTTTCCTTATTTTAGACCAGGCTTTACTATTTGGTCCTGAATTACTTCTGAAAATGTTGAGAGGTCCAAAATTTTAAACCAAGGAAAAGCCCAATAGGTCTTTTTTTGTTTCTCTTCCCACCCTCCACCCACCACTGATTAGTAACCATATGAATTTCCATTTCATCAACTAATTATTGAGCATAAGAGGATATTTTGGTTGATTCTTCTGGAATTACTTTATTTAGAAAACTAAGCAAATCTTGAGTGCTCACTAGTTATAGGCTACCGGGCTGAGAGTTGTGTAGACACCAGATATGAGTGAAGAATGGCTTCTGCCATCCCTGGTCTACCATCAGGAGGGGGTTAAGATCACATGTAAGTGGGGACAGGGCAGACGAGTGCAGGAGTAGTGAGCGTTTGTTGACTGCTGCGATATGCCTGGCTCTGTGCTAGTGCCTTCCTTACTAGTGTCTAGTAAGGTGCTACTGTCTCATTTAACCCTTACACAGCCTTGTGGGAGATAAGTACCACAGGTGCACCCTTCTTCATCTGAAACCTTTGGGCCAGATGCGTTTTGGAATTTAGAATTCTTTTTTTTTTTTGAGGAAGGAAGTAACAGTGTAGTGGTGAACTACATACCACATAATGCCTGTAGGAGGGTTTATGGTAGCACCTCATAAGCAAAAGATATTACTATTTCTGCAGCTAAACATATGAATACTCACACTTTAAAGAGACTGTAAGTAACCTTCCAATAGTTAAAAAGAATTTGCCACAGGATTTCAAATGACACTTTCATTTTCAGAGGTTTTGGGATTTAGAAATGATAGATATTGGACTGTGGACTGGTTATATTACAGGTGAGGAAGTGAGGGATAGAGAAGTTAAATCATTTGCCACAGGTGACACAGCTGGTGGGGGTGCTGCAGGAATTAGAAACTGGAGTTTCTAATAGCTTTACCTGCCATGTGAACCTGCTGTCTGTGAGGGGTGTGAGGGAGAGGCCGAGGCCCACTCTGGGGTTCACGCAGCGGGGTTAGTGTCAGCTAAAGCTTCACAGAGGAGGGAGCATTTCAGTAGCACCTCAAAGAATAGGTAGCATTTTAAGGTAAGGAGTTAGAGATGAGAAAAGCCATTCCTGGGGGAGGGAACATCATGGACAAATGCTTGAAGTGGGATCCAGTATTTTCCAGCTCCCCTAGAAGGGGGCCTCACTGCCTTTGTCCTCGCCCTTTTAGGATTCTTTCCACAAACGCTCTCTGAGGAGGTCCCCGGCCTTGAGCAGCACCATGCAGCCCCAGGAGGAGGAGAGCCGGAAGGTGGCCGAGCTTGCCACCTGTACCTCAGCCTGTCCAGCCCCCCAGGACGTCCCAGCTTCGAGCAGCAGCTCCACCTCCAGGAGCCTCCTGGGTCAGCTAAGTGAACTGATCATAGAAAAGCAGAAAACCCCTCCCAGCAGCCCTCCCCACCTGCCCAGCAAAGGGCTGCCCCAGGGGAAGAGGGCCAGCTGGAAAGATCTTTCAGAGGACAGCCCAGCACTGGACAGTAGCACAGACACAGACAGGACGCCCTTGAAGTTATACTTGCCTGGCGGGAATTCCAGGATGACCCAGGAGAGGCTGGAGAGAGCATTCAAACGGCAGGGCAGCCAGCCCCCGCCTGGCAGGTGAGCATGCTGTGCAAAGCTGACGGCTTTTCAAAAAGAAGTGCCACCTCTCACATGTTGACCAGTTGCTAATAGCTTCCCCAGGGACTTAGGTGCCTTGGTCTCTCATAGCAAGCCTGTGAGGTAGGCAAGGTAGGGTTGATTACGGCCAACTGGGAAGAAAACTACTCAGGAAGAGCTGCAGGGAAGGTTTCCTTGCCCCTTCTCACTTCTTCCCAGAGCCAAGGAAAGCTTTAGTAGATAGTCCGAAGCAAACCTGCAGGGACATGGCCAGGCAGATGTGAATAAGAGATGGTCCCTATGGGGGGGCCAGGGATACAGCGATGAATCAGCTCCCACAAGGCTCCTTTTGGGAATTATTTTTATTTTATTTTATTTTTTTTTTTACCTTATCCTTACTTTTATTCCTTCACAGTAGGCACTGATGATTCCTACGTTGATTGATTTTTGAATGTTAAACCAACCTTATGTTCCCAGAATAAACCCACCTTTGTTGTGACATGTTTTTATATATCACTGGATTTGATTTATTGTTTCATGTATGGTTTCTGTGCAAAAGTTCATGAAGGAGATTGGCTGGCATATTTCCTTTCTTGCAACACACAGCCTTGTCAAATTCTGGTACCTAGGTCCCTATTTTTCTCTTCTCTTGAAGAGTTAGTGTAAGATTGGCATTATTTCTTCCTTAAATATTTGGAAGAATTTACTGGAGAAAACTTCTGAGCGTTGAGCTGAAAGATTTTGAATTATATATTACAATTAAAAAATTGTTTTAATTCAAATTTTCTATTCTTCTATCAGTTTTGGCAAGTTTTATTTGGAGTTTGACCATTTTATTCATATTTTAAGTTTGTCAGTATAAAATTGTGTAATTACATTATCCTTTTATCACTTTAAAGTTTATGAGCTCTGTAGTGATGTCTCTGTTTCATTCCTGGTGTTGGTAATTTGCGTTCTCTCTCTCTCTCTCGACTAGTCTTGCTAGGAGTATATCAGTTGTATAATATTTTCAAAGAACCAATTTTTGGCTTTATATATTTCCTGTTTCATTGATTCTGCTCTTATTTTTATTGTTTTCATTCTACTTTCTTTGAGTTTAATTTGTTATTATTTTTGGTTTATTGATATGAATCTTAACTTATTCTCAACTTTCTTCTTTTGTAACACCTTTTAAAGCTACAGATTTCCTTCTAAGTAATGCTTTGTGTGTATTCCACAGGTTAATATGTTATATATTCATATAATTTAGTTAAACTATTTTCTAATTCCCATTGTGGTTTTTCTTTGACCCATGGGTTATTTAGCCATATATTGACTAATTCCAAAACATTTGGGGTACATTTCTGATTACCTTTTTGTTTTTGATTTCTAGCTTATTTCTACTCTGGTGATATATATGCTCTTTGTGATTTCAATCCCTTGATATTTCTTGAAATTTCCTTATGGCCTAGTATATACTTAAAGCTTATCTCTTATAATCAGCACGTATTTGAAGTTTTTAATCTTATCTGACAATATTTTAGTTGCAGTAATTATGTTATTCACATTTTTCTTTTACTTGAAGAACTCCCTTTAGTATTTCTTTAGTAGGTGCGTTAAAATTTTTTTTCTAGTTTTTGTTTGGAACTGTCTTTATTTTGCTGGTATTTTTGAAAGTATTTTTAATGAGTATAGAATTCTAGATCGGTGGCTTATATTTTAGCACTTTAGACATATCATTCCATTGCCTTAGACTTTCAGCATCTTTGTTGGCAAGTCAGCTGACACTTTTATTGTTACTCTTTTGAAGATAATGTATCTTTTTTTATTTTTTTTAAATCTCTGGCTACTTCCCTCTCACTCCCTAACCCTGCTAGCTTTTTAAAAGACTTTTTCTTCTTCTTTGATTTCTAATGGTTTGACTATGATGTGCCTAAGTGTGGTTTTCTTTGATGGTTCTTCTTGGGATATGTAGAGCTTCCTCTGGTTGTAGATGGATACCTTTCATCAGTTTTGAAAATTATTGTCTATTATCTTTTTAAATATTGCTTTTGTCCCAACCTCTTTTTTCTCTCCTGGGACTCCAGTTACATATATTAATATAACAGACTTTTCACTATATTTGTGTTCTATAGCTTTTTCTATTTTCTCCGTCTTTCTCTGCTTCTATCTGGATATTGTCTCTTGTTCTGTCTTCCAGTTCATGTCTCTTCTCTTCTATCATGACTAATGTGCTATTAAACCTATCTAATAAATTCTTAATTTCACTTATTTTAGAATTTCTATTTCTTTGTAAAAATAGATTTTTTTGAATTCTTTATCTTTTTCTTTATTTTCTTAAGCATATTATCCACTGCCATTTTAAAGTCTCCATCTAGTAACTCTGATATCTGCATCACCTGTGAGTCTGTTGCTATTGTCGATTTTTCTTTTGAATTTTGATAATTTTATCCTATTTCTTTGTATTCCTGGTAACTTTGATTGAATACCAGACATTGTATAATATGTAAATAATTGAATAGGTTCTGGTTAATGTTACCTTCCTCCAAAGAGGATTTAATTTCCTTTTGGTAGATATTAATCTCTTATTAGTTTTAGACTATATAAACACCTTCTCTCTTTCTGTTATTTATGTATCTAATAACTTTGTCCATTATGATCTTTGTTAAACTGAAGTGCTTAATTTGGGCATAATCAAGCTCTTGTTTGGCACATGATTTATATTTTTACAATTGTCTTTATTAAGTTCTTTCTTGCTTTTGTTTCAATGATATTCTCCTATGTTTTTTCTATTAACTTTGTAGGCTTAGCTTTCATATTTAGGTATTTAATCTTTTGTATTTTTTGGGATAAAAAGATCTACTTTTGTTTTTCTGTGTATGGTAGGACAGTTTTCCCATCACCATCTACTTTACAATCTGTTTTTTCCCCGTTGATTTGTGAAGCTACGTTTACTTTCTATTAAGTTCTCATATAGACATGGGTCTGTCTCTGAGCTCTCTATTGTGTTTCATTGGTAATTCTTTTTCTATTTATTTATTTAATTAGTTTTTCCCCCCTAAAACCACACCACATGACTACACTTTTGATTATTATGGCCATCGAGTTCTAACGTAGTGTCTTGATAGGGCCAGTCCGCCTCCTTCCCTGTTCTTTTAGGGTTGGCATAGCTACATACAGGTCTTTATTCTTTCTACAGCCCTTTTTCCTTGTTTCCCCAACATGTCTAGCTTGTTTCTACAGGAAGGAGAATTGGCTTGTCCCCTTGGTGTAAAGGCACTGCTCCCAAATAATCTCAGGACTGTCTCTTTCTTGTCAGTCTGTACTCAGAGTGGTTTCTTTGACTAACTTTACCTGTGCTCCCTCATCTCCATCCTGTTTTGTTGTTTTCACTGCACCTATCATTACCTGAAATTCTTTTATTTATTCACTTATCTATTATTTGTCTTCCACAATAGATTATAAATCTCACAAGAGCAGGGAACTTTATAATCCCTGTAGCTAGAATAGTACCGGTATACAGAAGACACTCAATGAATATTTGCTTAGTACTACTATTACTATTAACAACAATAACAATAGCAATAGGAAGACCAATAAGCTTTTGATATTGGCCTTTTTTTGTGCAAAACATTATTCTAAGTGTTTTAGGTAAAAGTTTGAAGCGGGAAATACTATTACAATTCCCATTTTACAGATAAGGAAACTCACTCAGAGAAGTTACTTTATTTACTCAAGTTTATGCATCTAGTAAGAGGCTGGGCAGGAATTTGAACCCAGGAATCTACCTCCAGAGTCTAGTGATGGAGCTTACCCTTCTAGTGGGAAGAGGCAGCCCACAACAACAAAACAAGTAAATATATAACATATCTGAGGGTTATAAGTGCTACAAGGAAAAATAAATCATGGAAGGCTGATAGGGAGCCCTGTGGACAGGGCTGATATTTTATAAAGGGGTAGCCAGGGCAAGCCTTTTAGAGAAGGTGACACTTGAGAGGAGACAGGGAACAAGCCCTTCGATCCTTGGGAGCAAATGCAAAGAGAGAGCAACCGTGCACCGACCCTGCAGAGGGAGCGTGTTGCTGGCTGAGCCTAGAGTGGATGAGGGAGAGGAGAGAGTGAGAGAGGAAGAAAGGGCTCAGTCATGCAGGGCCTGGGAGGCTGCTGAATGCACTGGCTTTTACTCTAGAGATAGGGGAGCCTTTGGAGGGTGAGCAGAGCTATACTGTGATCTTAGTTATGTTTTAATGGGATCCCTCTAGCTGCTGTTTTGAGAATAGATTCAAGGAAGCAAGTGCGGAATCAGGGAGACCAGTTAGGAGGTGACTGCGGTAGTCTAGAAGAGAGCTGAGGGTGGCTTGAATCATGGGCAGTGAAGGTGGTGAGACATGATTTAGAATATATGTGTATGTAAATATATACAAACACGCACATACAGTCATGGATCACTTAATAACGGAGATATGTTCTGAGAAATGCATCATCAGATGATTGCACCATTGTGGGAACATTGTAGAGTGTACTTAAACAAACCTAGATGGTACAGCCTACTACACACCTAGGCTATATGGTACAGCCTATTGCTCCTAGTATACAAACCTGTGCAGCATCTTACTGTACAGAATACTGTGGGTAATTGTAACAATAGTAAGTATTTGTGTATATAAATACATCTAAATGTAGAAAAGGTACAGTAAAAATATGGTGTTATGGTATTATAATCTTATGGGACCACCATTGTGTATGTGGTTCATCATTGACCAAAACTGTATGACTGTATCTCAGTGGGATTTGCCCATGGATTAGTTGTGCTGTATTAGAGAAAGAAAGGAGGCAAGGATAACTCCAAAGTTTTTTGGCTGAACAACTATTAGAAGAGGTTGCCTGTCCCTGAAATGAGGGAGACTGTGAGAGAAGCAGGTTTAGGTTGTCGTCATTGGGCCGCAATTCATACCTCTCGTCTGCCATAATACTTTCCTTTAGGCTGTTGCTGTTACTTTGCTGACTGGCCTCCCTGTGAC